CCCGCCACAGACACTCTTTCTTTGTCTCCATCCAGCACGTCCTCTTTGCTTTGCCTAGCGTTGTCCTTCTCCAAGGGCCCTGAGAGCCCTGTGCCCCATGAGGTTGCAGTCCTCTTCCCATCTGTACAGTTCGTTTGGCTCTTGGGCTTTGGATGCCCTGACACAGGGCACTATCTTCTAAAACATAAGTGGCTATCACAGACATATAGGTTTAAAAGCATGGAAATATAACTCCTGGACTCACCACAAAGTCTGTGAACTTCACTTTGTCTGTCTGGGAATGCAGTTGCTTTTTAATTTCATTTAATTCTAACAAAATGTAGATAATCTTATGTCAAGTTACCTCATACCATGTCTTAATCACAGAGTGGTGAGTAGGTCATTAGACAATAATTCTAAGTATGGTCTTGGCTCTTATGGAATATGCATGTATCATCTAGTAAGGGACACGGTTGGTTTCATATGATATCTACAGGGGTGCGGGTTGGGCAGGCACATTCAAGTGTGCCTTGAAAAGCTTTGAAGGAGGATGGGATTGTTAATTGGGGACAAGGGAAAATTGCCTGAGGATGAATCCTACTGAGTGGATCATTTCTCAGCTACCTCATATAAAAATGGTGTTTTGTATTCAGTGGCTCGCTTTGTGTCCTGTGAAGTCTACCTAACTGTAACCTATCATCTGCTGGTAGTCACATGCATTTGGAATACTCTTAGTTAAGACTTAGATGCCTATGGCACTGTGTGGTATGATGGCTAAGGGCCAGGGCTCTGGGGCCCAATTGGCATTTGAATCTGGACTCTACCACTTAGTTGTGTGACATTGACATAGTTCTGAAATGTCTCTGCACTTTGTTTTCCCAGCTTTAAAATACAGGTAAGTAAAGTATCTAAGCTTATGGTAAGACTTGAATGAATACTTGTAAAGTTTCTAGAAAGTAGCCTGGCTCAGAGTGAGCACTCAAAAATGTTAGTCATTAGTAATGGTGATATTGTTACTATTACTAAAGGAACATCTTTGAATTATTCAAGATCTTCCACTGCCTTCCAGGAACTGAAGAACTAACATGGTTCTGTAAAACTTTTCTACAATTGAAAATGCTTTGGGGGAGACTGGTATATTGGGCTCATTATGAATTTGCCTTTGGGCAGTAGAGACTGAACACCCATCAGCTACACAAAAGTCTAGTAGCTCAAGGGGAACACAAGCCATTTGCCATGTGTCCTCGCAGGGTAGTAGTATTACCTCTGGGACAGGATTCAAGCTGCATCAGCGGTCCTAGCTGAAGTCTTGTGACCCACTCAATGGCTTTCCATAACCATTTTT